AAAAGTACTTTAAACTGTATAAATAATGTAAAATTAAATTGATTTAAACAGCCAATCATACGAAAGTCTTCCTATGAAGACAGTATGCAATGTTGCACCAATCAATATCTAACATGCGATCATTTGGGACTCGGTCCCTTAGGGTCTCTTCTCTCGAGTCTAAATTCGACTCAATAAGGTCCGTGATGAGTCGACTTAAAAGACTAACTTGGACCGAACTTTTAACATCCTAACTGATCATGACCCCACGAATTGTACCGAGTCTTTTTTACGGCTGGGTATTATAGTTAATGGCGTACAGTAATGAGTCAAACTTCCGTGTTACCGTGATAAAGATAATCCAATCGAACTTTAATTACTAGTGGCTAACACAAAGACTTGGTGGAAGTAGATGAGGTCATGTGATGGTGACACGAGAAGAATCAGCTAATGGAAGCACTTTATGGCCTCACATGCTATCCATACGATTTCCATAAATAATTAAAGTTTTTGTTTTCCGAAATCAGAAGATCTTCTAATTCATGCATTATCCAATAATTTTCCGAGTGCTTAACATGTGTGTTGAATTTCAAATTATCGAACCATTTCGGTCGGTGCCATTCCTGGTGTTTGCCGAATTTATAGAAGTACAAAGGGGGATGATTATATAATGCGAAATGCATCATACCGAAACCTTTCTTTTTATTGGTTTTTTTTTTTTTTTTTTTTGAAAAATCCGATTCTTTCAAATATTCATTATAAATTATATTAATTTCGAAATTCATACTATTGAATCTAATTATCTTTTATTCATTTTTGAAGACTATCAAAATGCAGAATAAACAATCACCATCAGGCTATCGTCATATTGTTCCGGCTACATCTGCTCAAACATACGTTCCTATATCGCCTTACCACTTGCCTCAAGCTGCTTTGCCTCCTTTCGAAACACCACCTGCTTCTCCTTTCTCCCAACCAGTGCATAATTATAATGGGCAACCACTTTTTAAACTTCCTCCTCCTATGCAACCTTTATCACCTAGTCTTACTCATCAACAAAATAGTTCACCGATACAATCTTCTCATTCTCGAAATGATCGTATTTTATTGAATCAACCCAATTCTCCAACTGTTTTCCCAATGTCTATGGCACCGCCTCCTGCAAACATTCTTTTGGAAATGTCACCGACTATTCAACCAACAATGCGTCATATGCAACATAATACTTCGGTTATTCACCCTCTTACTTCACACCATCGTTCATCGATTCCTTCTGATAAACCCCTTACTACGGCAGATCAACGTGAACTAGCTCGTAAAGTTTCCCATTCTGCCATTGAGAGGCGCCGCCGTGAACGTATTAATGATAAAATAATGCAATTAAAAGAACTAATCCCAAGTTGTGCAGATCAAGATCATTTAAATAAATTAAGCATTTTGCAGAGTTCCATCGAGTATATTGAGTATCTACAAGATCTAGTTGTCACTTATCGACAACGAGAAAAAGATGGCGGCAGAATAGATGATAATAGATCATCTGAAAATGGTCGAAAACGATCAAAGTTTGATCGATATGATATTCTACCATCATCAAAACTATCTTCAAGAAGATTGGAAACTCCTGAAGACAAAGAATATAAACATAAAGGTTCCTCTTCAGATCAATTGATGGATTCCGTTGTAAACACAGAAGTTAACAGTGATAATACTGACTCTACATTAAAAGCTGATATATCAGATCTTACACCAATGTTACTTGACGAAGAAGATGCTGACGTTTTGTCGCCGAAATCAACCTCTACTGTACAAGAACCAGAGACAATAATAAAGTCGATTTCTACTATACAAGAATCCAAGAAAATTATAACAAGAAATTCCGAAACACAAACTTCGCCAATTCATGACTGGGAAAAATCTTTTAAAGAGTTAAAAGACGTGCAAGAAACAAAAACATCGTTATCTTATGAATGTGAGTCTTCCGAGGAGTCTGAAATTGTACGAGAATCAAATAAGTCGCCAAGAGGAGGGATGACCGTTCAACAATTGTTATGTTAAGTCGTGCGATTATTATTATTTAATATTTGAGGGTTCAATTTATTTTGTAAAAGCTTTTTAAATTTTATAATTTTCTGGTTGAAGTAACCTACAATCGACAATCACAATTATTTATTCAATTCTTTAAAATCACTAGCAGCCCGCATGCGCTTTGTTACAGGCCATGTGTTTAATAAGTAGTCCAGACAAACACACGCCATTCAGTAATATAGATTAAAAACTGAGATTAATTTTATAGAGCAACGTAGACTCCATAAAATTATTGTTCAGTTTTATTATTTGTTATACAAACTTATTGTAGAAACAAATTTGAACTCCGACTTGTAACCTTGGAGAGTTATCAGTCGGGTTTGAAATTTCATCGGCATAAAAAAAAATGCCCAGCTTTTTAATAGTATGATTGTTTGGTATAATATACCGTATATAACATGTACAAAATTTATAAATTGGTCTTCTATAAAGCCATTACTGTATCAAAAAAAACTATTAAGAGCTATATTCTATAATTTTTTTCAATGTCGATCTCTAGTGATAAGATATCTATTAAAATTTTTATTAGTTTTTATAAAAAAACTAACGGCTAGATAAAATTAAGCAGCCTAAGTTTTGAGCAAGTCGACATGAACTCAATGATCAAGTTCTTAAAATATATTTTGAATGTATATAGACAGTATTAACATTATAAGGGTTAAATTAATAAATATTTTCATTTTTTATACATACATTTTAAATGAAATTAATTAGTTAATCTAAAGCAGCGCGATTGATGCACCCAAAACGATATATATTTATTTATATATTTGAGCCTGATGCTAAGAAAAGGAACGAAATTGGCAAAAAAAAAAAGGTTTTGTGAAAAATTGATTTTTTTTTTAAGCTTTGGTGACATTGCCAGCTTGTTCTAAATTTTTTATAGTACAATTTACATTTTTACAGGATCAATTATTGCTAATACCATATTAGTTATCCTAATCTTACTAAACTGATTTTATCTGGTTACTTATATGGTGTCCAAGTTTGTGTCTGTTATAGTTATTATGAAAACCATTTGTGGTCAAAGCATACCACATAGACAAAGATACCTTTGAACTTAATATGGTATTCTAGTGTTAGAAATACTATTTTCTATAATTGTATTCATGTGTCTTACTTATATATTTTATATGATTTTGTTTTTTCTAGTCTTCTAATTTAACTATATCTAGTATTACTTTGTTTCTTACATTTCTTATTTTTTTTATTAATGTATTATTTTCAAATTAGTTTTATTCAAATATATTTAATCTTTATGATCTTTCATCTTTAATATAGTTGTTATTGATTTTTTTAAGGTTTTTTGACAATAATTTAGAATCTATAATAAATTTGTATCTTAAATCAGACCTGTTGTTATTATTAGTCTTTTAATTAATCTGTATCTTAAATTAGATTTGTTGTAAAAAAAACTCTTTCTGCAAATCCATTGCACAAAAATTAACTAAAAAATTCGTTCGTCAAAAAACGCATATAACTATTTA